GCTCCGATGGCCTTTTTAGACTCATCCCAAAACTATTGCTTCCCCTAAATAACGCCGATGAATCAGCCGTTAGAGCGAGCCCGAGCCACAACTTCAACATCTTTATGACGCCTGCATCTAACTTTGACAAAAGGGTTTTATTAAAATCATAGACGAGGAAAGGCCAATTCAAACGTGAAGTTAAGTAATTATCGTAGATCCACGCTTTTTTGACGTTACTTATCAGTTGGCTATCTACCTTGTTAAGATCGTTCAAAAAGCTATCTACTATTCCTTCTAAAGATGGAGTACGGCCTATATTATCTATCTTACGACCGAGAAATTTAAATGGTGCATTTTCCGTAACCGTAGAAATGCATTGACCGCCTAACGATAGTCCCGGATCGTATGAGATGTATCTTGTATTCCGCCTACCAAGACACAGACAGTGACATTTATTGGGTTTTGTCCTCAATCCATCCGTCCACTCACAGAATTTATCCACTTCATCCAGTAGTACCTGACAGTGTTTGGGGTTACGTGTCAGTATTGCGAGATCGTCAGCGAAGGCTAGAATGGATTCCGTGTATTTATTATTAAACTTAAACCGATAACCCCATTTCTTCTCGTTACAGATTAATTTGTCTACTAAGATGTTAATTACGATATTAAACGCAATTGGAGATAGACAACAACCTTGAAACAGTCCTACATTATAACTCAAACTTTTTGAAGGGCCTTCTTTAGTTATTATAGAAAACCTTAATTTTGAGTAATACGACGCGATCATATCTCTAACTAGGGGTGGAAAGTTGTACCATCTAAGCGCGAATAGCATCAATTCGTGTTGTATCGACCCGAACGCGTTCTCCAAGTCTATCCAACAAACAGTGATTTGCCGCTCGCTTTTTCTAGCATCTTTTAAACTCTCCGACAGCAAGGTGTTGTGTTCTAAGCATCCAGAAATCCCGGGTAAAAACCCTTTCTGGTGATTTGGCCTAAAATAGTTGTTGCTGAGCATGAATCGCGTCATTCTCGTTTGTAGAACCGAGAAAAAGATTTTCGATATAGTATTTGTTAAAGCTATCGGTCTAGTATCTTTCGGATCAGTAACTCGATCTTTTTTGGGAATGAGGACAAAAATTGCTTTCCCGAAGCACTCCGGGATTTGCTTCCTTGACCAGATTTTACCGTATATATTTAGGAGGTGTTTACGAACCGATGCACATTTTTTAAAGACTATATATGGGATACCATCGGGTCCCGGTGCAGATTTAGACGACTTCCTCTTGATCTGACTACTTAGTTCCTCTAGCGTTGGTGGAATGCCGTGGAATTCGATTCGAGGAAATTCAGGTTTTTGATCGTTTGGATCCCTATACCGTCTTAAACTTTTAGGCACTTCGTATGTGCTCTTGAAATGGTCGTAAATTTGATCGTTGGTCAAGAGAAGCTGTCCGCGTTCTTTCTTAAAAATGGTTTTCGAATACTCAAAGGGGTTTTTATCGAAATCTACTTCTTGTTTTGCCCGGTCAAAATTATCGCGATATTCTGCAGTTTGCGCCGATATTCCTTGGATTAATTTAAGGATTGACCTTAACGCCCTAGCTAGTTGATGACTAAGGTGATTGTCGCCTAGAGCTTTGGCTATACGTAGATTTTTTATTAATTCCCGTTTTTTCTTCCGCATTTTTAATTTGAACGAATTGTCTTTATTTTTGCGAGCATAACGATTACGTGGTGGATATTGCTCGCTAAAGTAGTCATAAACGGTATTTTGGAAAGTTTCTACCTGCGAGTTCAATTCCTGCTTCGAGCCCGGATGCTCTAACAGGACCGCTAAGTTGTCGTCATGAACTTTCCAAGTCGATTGTTTTAGATTAGGAATGCTAAGACGTGTCCTGATGTTAATGGACTCCTGGTGGTTTCCAGTTAATGGTTCACCATGGGATACATGAGGGTCAACTCTATCCGAAGTGAATGTTGTAGATCTTACCGACGATTGTCGTGCTTCAACCCCATTATGTGTTTTTAGATGTTTAATGTACCAGGCTCGTCTCTTGTAGTTTTTCCCGCACGTAGAGCATTTCAAGTCCGTATTCGCGCCGTTTTCGCCGTTAAAATCGACCGGTGGACAGTTCTTCCGCCCCCCCTCTCGGACTGTCCCAGGGGTATTTTTCTTCTTCGGACTTTTAGCTTTATGTATACCGGGTTGGGCTTGCTAGGCCGTCGCCCTCGGCTGTCTTTCCAGCAGTCATCCGTCTTTCCGGCAGTCATCCGTCTTTCCGGCAGTCAGCTGTCTTTCCAGCGTCAGCCCGACTCTCCGGGCAGTCGTTTTAAATAAGACGAAACTTCTCAGCATTCCATGGATTCACCGTGCGGTTATTTGACGATCATGTATGACAAAATAAAAATTAATATAACATAAATATTAATAAACTTCTAAGTAAAGTTAACCAAAAATTATGTAATTAATTACGCATCGTGTGAATACCCTACAGATTAGGTATACACACACACACACACACATACGCGTGCGCGGCGTGGTGTTGTATCAGCACGCCGTCGCACGCGTCCACACTTGCAACACTTGGAACGTGTCCACACTTTATTTATTTATACGTAAATTTGGTCAAAAATTAAGTACCTATTTTTTTACATAATTCGAATGAGAATCATGTACCGAGTATTCTCCTTAAATATTGATAGTAATTCACCAGTCACCCTGTATATATAGATTGTTCATTCTTAAACTTAGAGTATTTGTTCAATATTCAAATAGAAGTACAAAGCGTGCGGTGTCCACTTCACTTTTACATTAATAGTATTTTTACATTAATGGTAATAGTAGCAATATAGTTATTAAATAAATATCTATATAGTTTTAATCCGAACATAACATACTTCTTGATCTTTCTAAAAAATTATATAATTACTAGAAGACCTGGCGAACTTCGTATCGCCCTATAATCAAGAAATATCTATTACGTTTTTTTATTTATATTTTTGGAGTTTACCTGTAAGCCATAAATCTCCGTGTTTTGAAGTGCGACAGAATGATTGACATATTAGTTAGTTGTCAAATCTAATGTCAAAAAAAACGTTCGTATGGGAAATAGAAAAGGGCTGTTTTTATGGTTTTTCCAGTAATGAATCAATTTTTTTCAGTTTTCATACCTTCCCTGAACCTCCACGAACATTTCAAGACTAAGATAAGATAAATCCGTTCAGCTATTCTCGAGTTTTAGCTAGACTAAGGAACAGCAATCCATTTTTATATATATAGAAGATTTCTTAGAGACGCTTTGTAAAAAAGCTTTTTAAAAAAGCTATTAAATGTCATGAGATCCAAGATTTTCGCGAGTATTTAAATAAATGAAACTTTCATCTAACAAATTACCTTGAATTGAATAAATATTCAATAATATCTTGTGAAAAATAAATGTATACAAGTATTTAGGGATACTAAGTTTTAATTTTTTTATAAATATCCGATCGTAAAAGACTCATATCTCACCTTTTTAACTCAAACCCAACCGATTTATTTTAGGTAAATAATAATATTTTGCACAAATCTGACTAACAAAGTATAATGTAATTATAAAAGGCATATTGTTTATAAGGAAAATATTTTTCGTGGACCACTGTTAAAAATAACAACAAAATCAACACTGGATCGTAAAACATATTTATTGATGTATGTTTTTGGGTTTTATTATAAATTCTTTTAGAATTTCCCAATAATGGATGGAAAACAATTCATATTATAGTAAACAAGAGTCAATCAAAAGATATTTCATTAAGACGCAAGTACTCTTGTGTATAGTTCGTTATTACTCGAACAAAGGAAAACGAGCCCTTTCTAAGAGTAAATAGCTTTACGACCCAGTTGGAGGATTATTCTAAAGCCTTCTATTCTTGTTTGTAGGTAATATAAAACATTGAATGTATTGTGAATGTTTCAGATACATTTAATTATCGCAGTCTTTGTTATGAACATTTAAATGAAACAAATATTTTTCGTATTATACTACGCGTATTTTATTATGTTTAAAAACTACATACTCCCGACGTTTCGGTTACTTTTCAGAAATCGTGATCACGGGCAGACCAGATATTCGCGAAAATCTTAGATCACATTATATGTGAACAACTAAAAATGTATTTTATTTTGCAACAGTGTTTCGAAAGCACAATTTAATCCCTTATACAAAACGTGTCTCTTTATCGAAAATTTCGTAAAAAAAATATAAAAATACGTTGTTGTTAAAACTAATAGAAGACATATCATTTCATGGCCATGAAAAATAAAACTTTCGTAGGCATGTTTAGTCTTTCAAAAAATGGTGAAATTTGGGAAATAGAGACAAATTTTAGTACACTTTAGAAGCAAAAAAAATAATGGATCAAATTGTCAATGTGGCTCATTTTTTGGAACTAACTTTGGGATTAACTTAAATTTACCTTCTTTAACTTCACTTTCTTCTGTAATGATCGAGATTAAGCTCTTATTAATATTATATTAAATAATAGATGACAAATACTTATATCTAATAATTACAAATACATAAATAGATGTTACGCTAAAAATATCTTTAGTATGACCAATATTGTTGGCCTATTTGATGAAACAACTGAATACTCATACATTATCCATATTTTAAATCATTCAATAATTGAATTTCAATAAACATATAAATACTAAATAGAAAATATAATTTTGATTTATGTATATATGAAAGAGTACCATGTAGTATTGAGTATTAAAAATAACAAAGGATGCCTTGATTAAGTATCATTATACTTACCACTTGTTTACACCATCACACTACTACAAAAGAAGCGTTTAGCGTTTCTCATTCATGTGCTAATTAGTTATGAATTAAAAACGCTCTGAAAACAGTGTGACACTTGTGGTAAGCGTAAAGGTTTAATGAAAACAAAAAAACGCTTACTAATTTACCAAAAGAAAATATATGTGAAAAGAAGAATTTAAAACACTCTATCTCTATTTGTTTCAGTATCTATTGAAGAACAGAAAATTCGAAGTTCTCAAGAAATCATGGACTTCGATTGTCAATATTGTTTTGATAGAAGCGAAAGACTTACCGGACGCGCCACCAACTACATCAAACAGTCTGTACTGCAAGTTTAAGTAAGTTTAGTATGAAAATAATTATTATTATGTAAGCGAAGATACCAAAAAAAACAACATTAAAAGCAACTTTTGTTTTATATTCAAAATTGTTATCAGAGGTACTATGTAAACCTCTTTCTATGATTGATAAGATTTTCAATACTAGTACCTAGACATTTCCGGGAATTCAATTTGGCAATAATATTTTATTAAAGACTGAATTGCCTACTTTTACATATTTCAACATATTTTCCTTAGACGAAAAATGCTAATGCTTTATAAAGTATTCCAAAGCATAAAAGTTCTGAAAACATATATGTATTTTGACAATTGTATGCTACCTATATACTAGTATGTATAATTTACTTAAGTCACTAGATTATATTGTCTCTCTTTTAATGTGAGTTGGAAAAGGTCCTTGTTTGTATAGAAAAGTCTATGAGTTTGAGAGTAAATGGCTAGCGTTATTTGTTTCGAAAGAAAATACAACATAGCCTAAAATTACGGGAGAAACATTAATAGGTAGAAAACTATGTTTGTCTTAGTTCATTACATATAAGCATGTTATAAAAATGTTCAACCTCAGATATGTTGATCGAGGAATTTAATTACATTATTTATAAAAAACATCCGCAATCCCATTAGCATTTGCCGCCATGATTAACGCTTTATATATGTAACCAGACACAATATAAATGAATAAAACAATGTCCTTTTTATATCATTCTTATATTATGAAATGCTCATGCAATATACAGGGTGACTGGTGAATTACTATCAATATTTAAGGAGAATACTCGGTACATGATTTTCATTCGAATTATGTAAAAAAAATTGGTACTTAATTTTTGACCAAATTATCGTATAAATAAATAAAGTGTGGACTAGTTCCAAGTGTTCCAAGTGTGGACGCGTGCGGCGGCGTGCTGATACAACACTACGCCGCCGCACGCGTGTGTGTGTGTGTGTGTGTGTGTGTATACCTAATCTGTAGGTTGTTCACACGATGCGTAATTAATTACATAACTTTTGGTTAACTTTACTTAGAAGTTTATTAATATTTATGTTATATTAATTTTTATTTTGTCATATATGATCGTCAAATATCACGTCCTCAAGTATCGATAGTAATTTACCAGTCACCCTGTATACTTAAAACAAAAACCCATAAAAATATCGTAAGCTCTAAATAAATTAAAGTAATTTTAGATATAATTTGTATTTGTTTCCGTGAAAGACTTTCCGATTTTTTAACGCCTTTCCAACAACAAAGGTCAACGACCTTACTCAACTTTCCTATCATTGTAAAATATTAATTTTATTTATAATATATCGATTTAATCTTTAGCATCGATACAAAGCAAAGGTGCTATTTATAGAATAAGAAAAATGATAACCTCTTTTAATTATTGCTTCAAAACTTAATTGTATGTAAAAAGTATCTTCTGAATGTAATATTATGTATGTTTAACATGTTACCTTGAATTTTTTTGATAGTATTACAACATACGTTACATTATACCGGTAAGAAACTGTGGTAGATATTTATCTATTTTAATTTAACTACAATAATCCATGTTCGTATGTAATAGGTAATAACCTGCGTTTATTTAAATTTTTGTAATCCACACGTGAGGCACTCCAACAAATTAACAATCAAATAATTAATCAAATGAACTTTAAAACAATATTTTCGACTGTCCCTATATAATATAGAGAGCTTTAATATTTTAATATAAATTAAAATGGTAAAATTTGTTTCTTTGTTTTAAAAAAAGCATTAAAAATTTAAATAATCTATAATTATATTGTAGGTTAAAATGATTAATTTAAGTTTTCCACCGTCATACTGCATACGATGCCTATCTCGTTTCTGATTCAATAACTTACATTGATACTATAACATGTGAAAATTGTGAATGATTTTTTTTAACACTTCATGTATCCATATACCCTTAAATTAAGCATACAGTTCCTTAACCTTGATCATTGTTCCTGAATTCAATGATAGGAATAAAAAGTACTTCTTTACCCACCTCCTATTGAAATGACTAGAAGATCCTTTTTAATTTAAAATCTATTTTGAACAGAGATTTGGCTTTTCAAGATAAGCATTAATGTCAAGTTGTGAAGATGTATGTTTTCTCACAAAAATGTTTCAATCTCTCTATCATAGCTAACATCCCACCAAAATTCATTTCTAAAATACACAACCTAGTTCTTGACGCTATTTTCATCTGACGAGATGAAATATTTGCTTTTGTGATAGGATTTCTCGGATTTTTTTCTCTTATTTCTGTGATCGTCTATTTCATATGAACCCTACATGGAAGTATTATACCTATCAGTCCGGTACCAAATATGTATAATACTAATACCCTTTGTATAATAAGAGTATGGGACATTTGTAAATCGTATTTAGTTCGTTTATATACAAGAACATTGATTCATTTCTTGTTGTAATTGTAATAACACAAAAGATTTTACAATATGTTACTATGAAAAGAATAAAAAGTATGCACAATATTATAAAAGGACTATTTAATTTATTTTCAATGGTAATAGCCATACTCATGTTATAATTTATTTAAAATCAAAACATTCTCCTTGACTTCTTGTACATATATTAGTGATCTTAACGTCGGATTTCCTTATAACAAACACCAAATATATTTTAATGAATATTTATAAAGGCGACACCATTTTGTTATCGCCGTTAAAATTAAGGAGTGTGGTTACATCATTACAACTTTATTTATGTATATGTTCTTTAGGCTAGGAAACGAAACCCATAAGTCGAAACAAGTACACAAAAACAAACCTATATGGAGGGAGAGGTTCAACTTGTATCTTTACGAAGACAGCACACTTGAGGTCAATGTCTGGCATAAGACTAAGCAAAAAAACTTCATGGGCAGGTGAGTAATAACATGTTTTTAATTGTACCGCACGGATTAAGCAAAAAAATCATTTTATTTTCGGTGCGTTGTATATTCATTAGATGTGTTATCGACCTGGCCCAGCTTGAGAAGGAAAGAACCCACGATATATGGCAGTCTCTGGAATGTGGCTTCGGATCCTTGCACCTTCTGGTCACATTGAGCGGATCGGAACGGTGTCAGAACATAGCTGCTGATAATGTTATATCAACGAATGGTATTCAACAGGAACCTCCTATTGATGATAAATTTGTAAGTGTTCCTAATGATTTAATTAGAATATATGTACATACACAATAAAATCTTTTCGTATACGATACAAAAGCCAAGTGTCTTTATGGACACTTTTACATTATTTAAGTCGTCTTTGACATAATTATGAGATCATCAGAATCTTTTTCCGTAGATAAGGGAGACATTGACGAATTCCCGTCGATTTTAAAATTTCTCTTTATTACGTCTTCTAAAAAACATTGAAAATAATGTTATACTTACCTATAGATTTTAAGCAAGCTAAGTATGAGTAAGCCATTATTTTTAACCTAACCACGTCTCAGTTTTAAATATCCTCTTATTTACACATTAGCAAGGTTAAAGGTGTACATGAAAGGTATTGTATGTTAAAACTCAAAAGCATGTCAAAGGATAATCGTTAGCAGCTAACTTCATTTGAAATGTCTGTTTTAAATAAAGGTTGCGTCATGCGAATGACTAACGAATTTCTAGTTACTTACTGTTCGATATTTCTTGTAAATATAATAATGGTAAAATATATGTATAATCATATTAAACGAATAAAAGACTATATGTAGTAAAACTTTAAAGAAATTACCGTAATGTATTAGAATAAAACAGATAGATTTTTTTACGAATTTTATCAAAATTCTCATGTGATAGAACTGGGGTCATCATCTAGCTAGTATTTATAAATCATCAAATTATGTTTATTATGTCTTAATATACACATATGTATATGTACTAGTAAGATATCAAAGAGGTTTTAATGTATCGTGTTTAACGGACTCATAATAAAATGTAGGATCACAACTTCTTTGGTATATTTTAAGGTACTTTTCCAGATTACTACTGAATCTATTATAAATTTCTTTTTTTATGCTTAATAGTGCCCATAATAACACGAGTATACACTATACAGCCAAACTAAGTTATATTCACCTACTATATTCAGATAATAATATTAAATATTTTTATGATAAAGTTTCATTTATTTCACATTAATTCACTCTCTTTAAGTTTATTTACTTGTTAAGTTTTAATAGGAATTTGATAAGCGTAAGTGGTTTGTTACATTAACTTTTATTTTGTTTATATCTTGGTATCGACTTCAATCCTATCAATATATCTAATACATAAGAGGTGTATTAAATTAAATTCTTATAAATATTCCATATTTTTTTGTTTTTAAATCGCTTTTTTTTAAGGATTTTTTTAAGTTTTTCCTTATTTATAATTGATTGTTTTTTTCTATAAGATAGTAGTTTCATAATAAACTATCATAAAATTTGTATTTTAATATGATATCAGTTAAACTTCATCGATATATCGATATGCCCTTAAAGTGTCCTTACTATAGGTAATAAACTTTACAGAACTTGTTTTTTAAGTGGGACATATGTCTCATTATTTTGCAGGTCTGGTACAAATTTGACAATTGGAATGAAGTAGGTAGATTATCGATAACAGTGCACGGAGCGAAAGGCCTGAGCGCTCTCAACATAAGTGGAAATGTTAACGCATTTTGTGTTCTCGAGTTAGATAATTCAAGAATACAGACACACACCATCCGCGGTACAGCTGAACCTAATTGGAATAAAACATTTACTTTGTGAGTAATAAAATATATGTATTATTTAATTATTTTTTTGTATGAGCAAAAAATATATATGATATAAGAGATTTCTTTTAAATTAGTTGATAAGTAAAAACACGTTAAGTTTCTTACGTAGTATTTTTAAAAAATATATACGTATATAATAACGAATATCTTAATTTCATTATCATATATTAAAACTGCCAAAATACCACAAAACTTTATAAGAAATTTTAGTTAAAACCAGATAGTTTAAATATGGATTATATATTAGAAATAAACAGAGAATTTAAATTTAAAACATTTAAATATTAACCGATTATTTTATAATCTGTGAACTGTCGATTATAATAAAATCGATACATCGAAAAAAAAATCATAAAATATATCGATATAAAATTTCGCAGTTGTATAAAAGACATAACATCAGCGTTAGATATAACTATATACGATGAAGCGATGCTACAATCTATGAAGGGAGAGAAGATCGGTAAAGTAACGATACCTCTGTTGAGGATAAACAACAATGAGAAGAAATGGTACGCGCTGAAGGACCGAGCTAAGAGGAACAGCGCTAGAGGAAACTGTCCACGGATATTATTGGAAATGTCACTCGTATGGAATCCTGTGAGTGTTTATAGTTTTTGTATGTTTGAAGGAGTTTTAATAGTATCAATTGAAAATTCGTTATATAAAGAGGTTGTTCGAAAAGAATGTTCACAATGTATATGTATAATATTCAAGAGGATTACGAAAAATTCGTTCAATCGAGGAATTCGTTATATTGAGGTATATTATATTAGGATTGTGTATATATATATATATATATATATATATATATATAACTGGCTGTTACCCGCGACTCCGTCTGCGTAAAAAAAAGTGGGAAAAAACTTAAGTGTCGCATACGCCCGCCTACCACCCGCGCGTGATAACGATTCATTTAGGGATCGGCATTCAGTATAAGGATTAAAATTAGCCCTAGCTACTTCTTATAAAATCATCTACCTTCCAATAAAAGTCCCTTCAAATTCAGTCTACCGATATCAGAGATTAGCAGGAGCAAACAGACTGACAGACGTTGTAAAAACTGATTTTTTTTTTGTACGTACCGTTTAAATATTTATGGGTGCATATATTTATTATTTTTAATATTTATTAATGCATATAGTAAAACGGTTATTTCAATATTACACAGACACTCCAATTTTATTTATGTATATAGATAATAGTACCTACATTTATGTTGTTTGAACTAACAATGTAATCCAAGTGTTTATCAAGATCTTTCTCTCTTTACTTGGAATTTATAAAGGAAAGTAATTGATAGGATATTATGGATGAGATTACGACTTTAGAGCTTCATGACTCAGGGAATTAAAGGTGATAGATACTACACGATTTTCTTTCTAATCCTTTTTAGCTAATATACATATGTACAAAGAGAAAGAAATTTACAGGCTGAATATAATGTAATATTAAAAAAAAATGTTAGCAACATATCCTAATGTCAAATACATATATTATATGCAAGCTTTTCTTTTTAATACTCGATAAATATATATTTATATGCCGCGACTGCGTCCGCGTGGAATAGTGACTTCCGGCATATTTTTGGTTCTTCCCACATAGTTCCCGTTCTTGCGGGGTTTTCAGAATGGTCGAGTTCCCGTAGAATTTTCAGGATAAAACCTATGTTTTTTTTATTAATAATGAAGTACAGTAGAACTCCAATTATCCGAACTCCGACTATCCGAATCGCCGATTATCCGAATCACTTTCAGAAAAAAAATTGTCCAAAAAAAGTCTAAGTACGCTATTATTCTTCCCTCCGCGAAGTCAGTGTAGGCACAACGGCAAGTTAAGACCGCAAAACAGCTTACATTGACGAAAATGTTTAAAAAACAATGATTTTTATTTCTAAACTTGTACATAAGTAAAATTTATTTATATTTAAAACATGTGAAAATATCATGTTTCTTTCATTTAATTCAATAAAAAAATAGTGCAATATCAAAACGTAACTTTTTTTTCTCTCCAATGGCAATTAAAAAAAAACTCCGATTATCCGAATATTTGATTATCCGAATGGATCCTGGTCCCCATTAATTCGGATAATTGGAGTTCTACTGTACTCTTAACCAACAGCATATTTATTTGTTTATTTGAATAAAGATTAATATTATTATGTTGATACAACTTAAACAAATTATTTCGACCAAATTAGGTACCATAAAAACGGTTTTTGTGAGTTAATCTTAAAAGATAGACAAATACTGTGGCGGACTGTTTTTTAGATCATTAAAAGAGCTATTATTCTTTAATACATATTTTTTGTGTATCTCGAACCGTTTTCACGGGCCACGCAACGGAAGGCTTCAAAGATGAAATAATTTCTCCCATTTTTTACACATTTACCACTATATCTTTGCTCCTATTGGTCATAACGTGATGTTATATAGCCCACAGTCTTCCTCGATAACTGGACTATCCAACACAAAAATAATTATTCAATTCGAACCAGTAGTTTCGGAGATTAGCACTTTCAAACAAACAAACAAACTCTTCAGCTTTATAATGTAATGGGTGATGATTTGTCATACTAAATCCATCTACACTAGCTGATCACAAATAGTATAGACAGATAGATAATGCCTAACTAAATTACTACAAAAAATTCAAAACAATATATTAGCATTAGAAAAAACTACACGTTAGTTTGAATGAAGCCACAGATAAAGAAAATCAATTAATAAATATTTCCTTATATTTAATAAAAAAAATATATAAAAATTATTTAAAAAATATGAATAATATAAGCTGTTATGAATTACGTCGTCTCATTCTGTTATTAAATATTTCATAATTAAAATGTCTGTCGTGAGATGTATCCTCTAATAAATATGTCATGGAATATTATTAATAACTTGTATAAAAAAAAACCTATTTGTTGTATGAAAAACAATAAAAATTCCACTTCGATGTCAGTCATTAGTGTTTAATGTAATTTTCCGTTTTTTTTTGTTTATTATTGTTAGAAATGAGAAGAGACTGGTTCAACCGGTACTTTGTTTTTGTAACTAAATATAAAATGACAACATTTATTTTACTGTTACTAGTTTTTTTAATGAAACTGTATTTTGTTTCGACGCTACTTTTTCAGCCAGTATCATTATGAGAACTGTTACCATAATTTTTTAATTTATTTTTTTTTGACTCAATGTTGATCGGCCAGTATCATCACGAAAAAAAATATACAGGGTGACTGGTGAATTACTATCAATATTTAAAGAGAATACTCGGTACATGATTCTCATTCGAATTATGTAAAAAAAATAGGCACTTAATTTTTGACAAAATTTCCGTATAAATAAATAAAGTGTTGACACGTTCCAAGTGTTCAAGTGTGGAGGCGTGCGGCGGCGTGCTGATACAACAACACGTCGCGACACGCGTATGTGTGAGTGTGTGTGTATACCTAATGTGTAGGGTATTCATACGATGCGTAATTAATGACATAACTTTTGGTTAACTTTACTTAGAAGTTTATTAATATTTATGTTATATTAATTTTTATTTTGTCATATATGATCGTCAAATATCACGTCCTCAAATATCGATAGTAATTCACCAGTCACCCTGTATATGAATAATTAAATCGGTCAAGACGTTTTTGAATTTCGAATTGTAAAGATAGAATTGTGTTTTTTTATGTCTTTTTTTTATCTTTTCATACAAATATGTTATGAATATAAAAATATTCATATTTAATATATATATTGGTCAACAGGTTAAAGCATCAATGCGTGTATTGACTCCAAAGGAAACAAAATACATACAAAAGCCAACCAAGTTCGACATACCATTAATATACAGCAACTTGATATTTATAAAGAAAATATTCAAAGTGTTTCAAAATGGGAACGAAAGTTTGAAGTGAGTTGTATATATTAGTCTATTTACGATTGTATTCAATTTTCAAATTCATAATTATGAATATTTATCACACATTTGTGTAAAACAAAGCACGTTTATGGAATATTTTATGATATATTTGGAAATATTAGCCTTAATAACTAATACACTAATGAATTAAGTAATTATTATTGATAAAATGATAAACATCAATAAATAATTTCATTTTTTTTTTCTCATTTCCTCCTTTTGGAGAGACAATGATCTTAAACCATTCTGCCTAGTCATTAACTTATTTATTGTCTTTGTTGATAAATAGTTTCATTTATGAAAATATATAACAGACATCGACATTAGCTTCATACAATTTCTTTTTTCTTTATTTGTCCTAATATTTTCCATAGCCATAGGCTCACAATATTCTAATAGCTTATAGTTTTTTTCAATTACAATAAAAAGTTTTAATATAATTTTATAATTATCTTCTCTTCATATAATAGGCGTGTCTTTGAATGGGATAACACGGAAAAGTCAGCGTTGGCGCTGGCTGGATGGCTGACCTTCTGGTACTTCTTCAGAATGTGGATGACGCCGCTCTTGTTAACATTACCGTTCGCACATTACTGGCTTTTACAAAGAAGTAATTACTTAATTATATATAATAAAAATCAATAAAAAAATAATTTCGTTTGAACATAATGAAAAGCTTAACAACGTTATTTTATTTTGAATATATGAAACACTAAGTAAAAAATATGTTCGATTAGGTGTGATGAAATTTGAACCTTATTTGTATATGTTATTATGTTCAGATTGCAACGCAGTCGTCCCGATCAGTCAGGTGGATGAAGATAGTTATTACCAGAATGATGAAAAGGAAGCAAAGGTTGGTACTTTAATGAAAATTACCTAAATTAAAACACATTATTATTAAAATAGCTTTCAATATAATTTTAACAAAACATATATACAGGGTGACTGGTGAATTACTATCAATATTTGAGGACGTGATATTTGACGATCATATATGACAAAATAAAAATTAATATAACATGAATATTAATAAACTTCTAAGTAAAGTTAACCAAAAGTTATGTAATTAATTACGCATCGTGTGAACACCCTACAGATTAGGTATACACTGACACTCACACATACGCATGTCGTGACGTAGTGTTGTATCAACACGCCGCCGCACGCGTCCACACTTGAACACTTGGAACGTGTCAACACTTTACTTATTTATACGGAAATTTTGTCAAAAATTAAGTGCCTATTTTTTTTACATAATTCGAATGAGAATCATGTACCGAGTATGCTCCTTAAATATTGATAGTAATTCACCAGTCACCCTGTATATGTAGTTTTAAAACTATGTAAATTATTTTTTCCACGAATAATAATTAACCTTCTACATCCATTTGCGGTTGCCTATTCGAAATTCAAAATTATTCGTGTTAATAAATGAATCATTTTATGGTAAAGGCGTTTCCTTTGGGGATTACCCGTTTTTTTTCTCATTTCGCTGTCACTTACGGATTAAACATATCAAATTAAATTGAAATTAGTTACGGAAAATATTACTTGGCGTATATTTTTCTGATATATATTTTAAAAGATTTTTTTCTATAATTCTAATTACTATTTAAATCTTTTTTATAATATTAATTCCATAGTCCACATAGAGAGGACTCAGTGGCAAAAACTAGCAGAAATATTATTTATGTGTATGAAAATAATCTAATTACAACGTGCTTATATATTAAAGTTAAATTGGGTTTCTATATACAGAGCTAAAATTATATGACTATTTTGTACTATCAACATTAAACAGTAAAATTACAATGGCTAAACAATAGTCTGAATTAAAATAGACACAGCTAAGAACAAACAGTCCTCTGTTATTTATATACCCATCATTGTTTGTCATATAGTCATGTACATAAAAAAATATCATGATTTTCATTTTTCAAACGAGAAATTTGAAACAATCGTAATTGCTTATTATTGTCCAAAAAACTTTAATAATACTAATAATACAGCGGAACTGAATACCTCAATTTCGTACCAATTACGTGCAACAGATAAAAAATAAACTATTCTTTAAGTATATTTTAATTTGAAAATAATTTGTTACATTTCATATAATGTATGGACCAAAAAGGTTTGTTTATATTTTATTATTTTTCCCAAGGATGACAAAACCATCAAGACTCGCATCTCAGAACTACAAGATCTCACAATTACTATAAAGAAAGGGATCGATTATATCGTATCTATACTGGAGAGAATCAAAAAGTAAGAATTTTAATATTATTATTATTATTATACATATGTATATATTTAATTTAATAATTAACTTATACTATATAAGGAATCCTTTTAATCGATGTGTTATTAAGTTCTACCTTAACTTGAAAAAAGAATTTGAAGTGATATATTACTATTATTGTATTGAAAATTTAAACAAAAGGAATGTCATATCTAATGGTTTTTTTCTTGAATTATCGTTGATTTTTTTATATTTTACATATTTCTTATAAATCGAATGTAGTATAATCAGTTGATCAAATTTACAAATAGCAAAAATTATTGAAACTTTAAAAATATAACGTATTTTTTAATTACCCTCAGTTTGATGAAAATTCGAAAATACAACATATCTCTATAAATCTTTAGGAAACTATTTCATGTTTGTTTAATCTTATAACGTCTTTAAAATCATCATTAATTATTTATGTGAAAAACATCTCATCCTACACGCAACTAAATTTAAAATCTCGTATTCATAATGACACATCCTTCTTAGAAGAATACGTCAATGGAAATGACCTTACCGTACCTTACCTCTTTAAATATATTGTGAAATAATTAACTTGAATTTAACGTTCAAATTAAAGGTTTTTATGGAATTATCTCCTATTTAGAAAAGATACTATGTATTTAGTCTCTTACATCAAATTTTGTTATTTTACATATTTTTTCTATGTTTTAACTATTATGAAGGCGAGATAAAAATTATTTTATTTTAGATATACTCTCAAAAGTCTTAATTATTTTATATTGATGTCGAAATTATTATTTTACTAATACTAATTATTTTTCTGTCATTCACATTATTTTAATACATTATTATTAAGCTATGCAAAGAACAAAAGCTCTACATTCAAAATCTTAACAGTAGTTGAAATATTTAATGCAAATATTTAAAACAATTTAAACATCAATTACTTTGAAATTTAACAATAATTTTTAATATAATTTCGATTACCAATTAATATAACAAAATATACGTCTAATTCTTTTAAATTTCTATATATATCTTGACTTCTTATGTACATCTTTATATATATTATATAAAACTTTTCCTTTTCAGCTTAGTCAATTTCAGCGTGCCGTATCTGAGTTATTTGATCATATTAACACTGATCGCTGCCTCCATAGCGTTCTACATAATCCCGATTAATTATATATTCATGGCTCTAGGTAAGAATATTTATTGTAACATACTAGCTGACACGAACTTCATACCACCCTATAATCAAGATCCGTTACCTTTTTTATCTCAATGAAGTTAATTTAAATATTAAAAAAGTGAAATATTCTAGTTTTTTTTTCTGGAATTTTTCGTATTTTTTCTTACATAAGAACCTTCTCCTAATAATAACAAATACAACAAAAAAAGAATTAACGAAATCGGTCCAGCCATTGACGCGTGATGCCGTGACTGAGGGAAAAGGGATCATTTTTATACATATAGATTACTAGCTTTCCGCCCGCAACTTCGCCCGTGTGGAGTTCGGTTATATCGCGTTTCCAAGAGTACTTTTCAAAAGTCTGGAATAAAAACTATCCTACGTCCATTCTCAAGGTCAACTCCATCTCTGAACCAAATTTCATTAAAATCAGTTCAGTGGTTTAGGCGTGAAAGCGTAACAGACAGACAGACAGAGTTACTTTCGCATTTATAATATTAGTAGGGATATATGTATTCTTCTTCTTCTACCTGGCAATTTCCCAGCTTTAGTCAGGGTCTGCCTTACATGTTGTGAATAGGTTTGGCTAATTGTTTTTACGACCGGCCGCCTGCCTGACATCAACCCTCTTTGGGAAAAATGTAAGGGATATATGTATTATTATATATTAATGTTTATGTTTTTGTTCCAGGCGTGTATAAGTTCACTCGTAAATTATTAAATCCATCCAGAATCCCAAACAATGATATACTGGATTTCATATCCCGGGTGCCTGATGATGAAATGTTGGTAAGTGGGATATAGGATACTATAAACTATATAATAATTATTTGCAATAAATATTTAATACTTATTTAGGCAGACCCTGGCTAAAGCTGGGACATTGCCAATAAGAAAAAAAAAGACAGTACTTTATTGGCAAAAAAATTCACTAATTGAACTAGAATGCAGACAGTTTAAAATAAATACTTTATTAACAGATTCTCTACACAATTATTTTTTTATAGAGCTACAAACTTTTTATAATCTCTATACTTAATCACTTGTATAAACAAATTCAATAAACAAATGTGTATGGCAGTATACAAAATACAAAACACATGGCTGTATGGGCTTTGTTCTCTTTGCCTGTTCTGAACGGAACGAACATAACCAAAAAAAAATGTCTATGGCAGTAAATAAATATTGTCTATGGTTACAGAAACAATGGCGAGAGTTGCGAGTTCCTGAACCGATTCCGACTCAAGACGATTCTAAAAGCAGATAACCATTAATGTACCTATTCGGTACGAAAAATGGCGTTCGTTAATATATTAATATTTCTGGCATCAGTGCCATACCTTGCTTTAAGTCCACTTAACAGTTATTCAGTTGGTAATGAATGAAATACGTGAAACGCATCGTATGTCGTATGGCAGACTTGTACTAAGGATACTGATGTCGCGTGGAAAAAAACATTCCATTTAGCAAGAAACATTTTATAGTTGGTGCTATTGTGATATTTATGTAGTTTAAATGTAATCACAATTATAATTTGTTATATTTATGTTCCTTATTTAAAAAATTGTTATTTTTTTTATCAAAAGAATAAGGTTGAATGATGTGATTCTTTTTTTATGTTATTTTTATTTATATAATAAATAAACATTTGTAAATCATTTGTACCTCAAATTGAGGTACTCTGGGATCTCTTGAGAGAGCTCTCTGTGTATTCTAAGCTCGGTTCGGGTACGCCTAATTCCTTCCAATCTTTCTGTAAATAGATATAAAATATTGTGATATATTAATTATATGATTTTAATTTAAGATTTAATAAAATTAATTTTTTTTTCATAGATCACGTTTTTTTATTTAGTTTATATGTAGTATATTACCAATATCTCGTTATCCGGTACTCTTGAAAGGAAATCGACCAAGTCGTTGTTCAATTTTCTGTCCGGGTTCAAATACTTTCTGCCGAATTTATAAATACCTGTAAAAAAAAATATTAAAAAAACAAGAATAATTTCTAAAAGAAAACCATTAATGCAAATGTCCCTTAAAATTATTTTTTTTAATGTCATGTATGTACATAGTTTAAAATATTCTGCCAAAGTCATATCATTAATATAAAGTGTCATTTATTATCTAATTCTTACCTAAACTCATCAAAACATAGTTGAATGGTATCGTATATAGGACAAAGGATGCAATTATCAGTAGCAACATGACGACATAGCTCAGGAACGGGACTTTGAACGACACGAGGCTGAAAGAACACGTTCTAAATTTGAAATAAATTTAAATGTCAACTCTTGGTTTAAATCCTATTGTTCTTTTTTTAAACGCAATAAACTAAACCAGTTTCTGTTTTATTATTTGACTAAACATATACAATCTCCTTTTAGGATTTATGTTGAAATTAATTGATTTTGTATACAGATTAAGAACAGATTAATATAACAAAAAGTGTTTATTAAGAAAACTTACTTGAATACTCTTTCGATATACGAATTAATAAATTCTATACCATTTTTTATTGTGAACGTCATTGAGTGGATTTCTTGAAACTTAGCCTTGAATGGATTTCCTTCCTAAAATGTATTAACTTTTGAGTATAATTAATACAAATAAGTGTATAAAAAGAAAGGTGATTAATAATAATGAATTACAGTTACGAGGAAATATTACCGATTCTTTTATTTAAAAAAAACATTGACTAATATTATTATCTACATGTACATATATGCAGTGTATTAGTACCTTTGTATTACACATACCTTCTCTAATCCATCATCGCTTGAGCAATCATTAGTAACATAAATATTATCTGTAAAAAATATATTTATAAATATGTTAATGAACTATATAGATAAGGTTATTACATTAAAACAAAACATTCTAACCTCGGTATCTGCTGAATATTCTATAATAGAAAAATGGCAGTAATATAATAAGAGGTACAGCCCATAGACGAAGATAGAAACAGAATAATTCATAGACAATAAGTACGAAGAACGAAAACTCCTTATCCTCCCACTCGAATAGACGCCTAAAAACATCATCTGTGTGTATAAAAAACGGATGTTTAACCCCTCCCTTGACAGAAGCGATAAAAGTATAAAAATAAAAGAAAAAAAATGGCGGAAACGTATTCAAGGACAACGGATAGTTCATAGTGCAACGATAATGGAACAATAAACAATTATTGTGTTATAATAATTTTAAACAAGATTTCATTCAAAATAATTTGTATTTTTTTTTATTACAAGCATATTTTTAGTGTTTACGTATGTTTTTCTTGATTTCTAAAGACTTAGACGTTTTCTAATAGATTAATAATTAAGATTATTTCAATGAAGTCTATAACAAGTCTAACTATGAGATTTTTTATGTAAAGTATTTAGAACATTTCTGTTGAATATATACGTACTTGTAATATTCATTGACTTCTTCACCGAAGACCAGAAGATTGGACACAAATTTCATATTATTATATATAAGAACGAAGTCGAATTTCTCAGGTTTCTTCAGATGTTGTGTCTCTTTGGCTTGAAATAACTTGAGAGTAGCTTTCAACTGAACGAAATATATGAATCCAATGTTATTAATGACGTATTTAGTTAGATAATAATGATTTGTGGGTAAAAATTATACCAACTCACTGGATTCCAGGCCATATCCATTTTAAGGAGCACTCTGGGACAATTTCCTCTAGCATTGTGACGTTTGCTCTTGTCTTTGAGGGCGTACCATCTCGTCATGCCACTGTTTATCCTCAACAACGGTATGGAAATCTTCCCCAAAGAATCATTTAGTACGTTAGTGACTGAACTGTCGTATATTTTAAAATCCAACGTTGATGTAACATCGTAGATTTTACTGAAAAAATATTTATTACTAATATTAAATATACTTTTAACACCTCAAGTTGCTTATGTTTTTGAAATCCTGTATGTACATTATAAAATTTAGGTACTTCGAGTTTGTAACTATTTTTAGTCCTATTGATTCATTTTAATCCAAAATATATATTTGCAGCTGTAAAAGTATACAACATCGACTAAATCTACATATATCATTGACCATACAAGTTTATACAAAAAGTCCTTAAAGATTTTTCCCATTAAACCATCCTATAGTGATGAAATTTGATCAAAAGTTAGGTATTATAATTATTCAAACTCACAAAATATAGCATTTGTTCCATTTCGGTTCCATGCTCGAACCAGCTCTATGTGTCTCAACCTTTTCATTGTCAATCTGCAAGGTGCAGTAAGCGTTTGGTTTGCTCGTCAGTCCCTTGGCGCAGATAACGTTCACATGTAATAATCCCACTACGTTCCAGTCGTTAGGTAAAGTGAGTATACCCTTAAATATTAACAAAAAATTACTTTAATAATGATAAGTCAGTGGTGGCCTAGTGGTTGAAAGGCCCGCCTCTCATGCATGAGGGCGCGGGTTCGATCCTGGAAAATACCAATGTGATTTTTCTTAGTCATATGTACTTTCTACATAAGAGTATTTAGACATCACTGATTAATGCGTTCCCAAAGAGGGTTGTTGTCGGGCAGGCGGCCGGTCGTAAAAACGATTAGGCAAAACTATTCACACCATGCAAGGCAGACCTTGGCTAAAGCTAGGAAATTGAAAGGTAGAAGAAGAAGAATTACTATAATAATGACGTATATAGACCTAAGATATGACTTCTTTTATTTCGACATATTTTTCTAAAAGTCATCCTGTTAGAAGTTCTTATAGAAAATCACTGCAATACCTAGTAATATTATGGAGTTTTACTAAACAAAGAAATACTAAGGTCGTTCATAAGAAACAAACTTACGTGTCTATTGAAGCAGTCATCTGATTCTTCATTCCCATTAGACTTGATGTCACACATGGTGAGTGAGATATGAATTGCTCCATAGCCATGATCCAGCTCCTTCCAGATTTCATGAGTCCTCTCCTTTTCGTAGTTTGATAGATCTAAATCACAACTTAACAAAAAGAACATCATATAATTTTTAATCCACTTTATAATAACTGAGGCGAAAATTCCTAGCATTTAAAGGATTCGCCATGTGGCTGCCCGGTCTGACAAGTTGTAGAGAGAGGAGCTTCAACAGTGCCTAGGACTTGCAACCCAGGTGTAAGTTTAAGGGGCCCCTATCTAATGCGCGTTAAACGCTCACCTCTACCGTCCAAGCTCCTCTCTCTCTACCTAACCAAATTTGAAAAGAACCTACTAGGGCTGCCTTCGAAGTACGTTCCAAGAATGAATTGATATTAGTTCAATGATATATTATGCAATATACTACGTGTTACAGTTTTTTAGCATGCTTATTTACCTTCCCATATCATTTTTCATTCTTCCTTTATCACGTAATGATATATTCAAGACATGATCTTGGTACAGATGTAATTGAAAACGTTCTCTCCATTCTGGATGTTGGCTGCTTGGCACACTTTTAGATTTGTATTTCTCTGAACCAAGTCTATAAAACCACAAATCTATAGATATAGCCTTTAAAAGTTTAAATATAAAATTTTGCTACTAATTTACTGCCCAAACAAATGTTAATAATAATTTCTTCAAATATTCAAAATGTCTCTCATGAAAGAATAAGACATAAGTAATCTAAATAATTTAAAATAAACATAAGACATACTTAAATTTACAATAAACATTGTGTGATGCTCCATCGTTTGGATGAGGAGGAAGACTTTTGGCTTCCACGAGAATTATCGTAACAATTGTATTCCAACTTTTATTATTTCTTTTTGGCTGTAAAATGTTATAAGTATTAGAAAATATGTTATATATATGAAACCATATAAAAGAACATCACTTAAATTGTAATGTTTAAAAATAAAATTATATCATCTGATTGTACCTAATATAAAAATAACTGCTTTTTACTAAAGCATATGTATATACAAGATAATATTTTTACATTGTTTGTCTATCAACATGTTCGTTCCATCTAATCTTTAAAACGGATGATTTTGACATGCAGATATCTGACACAATGATTAACTTTTTTTATGGAAATTTGAATTTGGCACTCCCAAATATATATATTGCACTTTAATTAATCTATTATTAATTAGTAAATAACTCACCCTTGTCGGCGGTGCTGAAACGAGAGCCAACGATTCATTGCGGTTCACTTTATTCAAACTTCTTAATGAATTCGTTCGCCATCTGTTGGTGTATATTAAAAACATCACTGTCACTTATTTGAATCTTTATTTATTTAAAACTATTTGTTAATTTTATATTTTAAAAAACACTGTAACACTTCACAATTGATACATTTACTGAGTAACTACTTACAAGCGTATATTTCGCTGTCTATATGTATTGTTTCTGAATATGGAATCCATTGATATAGTGTGGCCACTACTGCCTTGCATCATTTAACGTCAATAAATCATTTAATAATATTAGTACTGACACGCAATAGATATGTTATCATTTTTAATTCGTGATAAAGATGTCTAGTCCCAGATTTCACTGATGACCTTTAACCATTAAGGTGTCTTAGGTTTAAATTTATATAAAAAAAAGACATTAAATAATAATTTTATACCCTCTAGAATACATCCCGAATAAGTAATCTTTGTGGAACGAGAAATACAAACAGAATTACGTAAATGAGCACGTGTAAAGTTATTTATCAGCTGCTGATAGAAAAATTAAATCGGAATTATTAAACATTTATTGATTGTCAATAGCAATAATTTTTATTATAGTATTTAGTTCAAATGTGTCGTAAAATGAGTAATCAGTACCGTTAGACTAATTTTTATATAGGACAATCTATTCTATTGTAACAAAGAGAAACAAAACATTGTTTGAATTTTTGAATATATCATTTCTAATACGATTGTTCATTGTATTTCTTTTGCCATCAATGTATAAGAAAATATTTTATAATATCAAAACACCCTAGTATAAAAGAAAATACCTATTTTTGGAACAAATACTTTTAGTCGACGTAATTAATCATTATGAAAGGTTAAAATAATTATCAGGTGTCACCTGCATAGCCACCTGGGTGAGTGGAGTGTACAGATTAAAAACAATATTGTTCTAGCCGTTGCAGGAATTGAACCTCTTCGAAATAAAAGATTCGTCAAGCTGTCCACGAGATTACCTTCAACAGCCTGAAAGCCTGAATAAAATTAAGTTCAAAGGCATTTCTGATGTCAGAAATGCTGACGTCATAATCTTTAAAAACTATGAGGAGCATACTAAATCCGATAGCTTCTATTCTCAATAAAATGAAATATTTTCTTTAAATCTTCCATAGGTTTAGTACTAGCTATATTTTTGCATACCGAGCTATTGATGGATAAAATTAAATATGGAGTCACAGATTTTTTTACTTTGGATAGATATCTCATGATTGAGAATTGTTTTAAAAAACAAAAGCAACCGTATTTATTTTAAAGCTGTAAATAATTTTGCCAAATAGTCAGAATATGAATTTCTCATTGTTCCAAACTTCCCTGAAAACTGATTGTCATCTAATACATTTAAATCTATTAGCTAGTGAATACACTACGTTACAATTTATCGTCTGTTTTAAGGAATAAAATTTGCTCTTAGCGTTAAAGAATTAGGAGACCCTAAAACATTTCAGATGACTACACACAGCGGTTTCTTTCATAGGGAGAGTGCTTGCTTTTAACTGGCGTCAAGACTTAAATAAATTTCGTATTATAGTCTATGGAGTCCACTCTGAATAAGTTAAATATATTTCATAGCCATATATTAACATATTTTCCTAAAATATTATACTAATATACTGTAAAAATACAAGACAACGGGCTTCTCGTCTGTAGTATTTAAAACAATAAAATACGAGTTTAAGTTTAAGTCATAGAAAAATATGAGTTTCCTTTCCATTTATATGTTAATAATATTTACTTATAAAAAAATCATTGAAGTTGAATGTTTTAGGGATTTTTGTGAAAGAGAAAGAACATTTAAATAAAACTAAGTGTTTTGGAATTATACGCGAATTATTCCACATTTTCTCTTGTGTGTGAAATACTTTGTAGTAACCATGATCACGGATGAACAAGATGAAAGTATCCACATTTAGTATTGTTTAATATCATCTACCGTGAAAACTCACGGATCTGTGAATTGTAAAACATAAATATGAAATGGCTTGGCTTGCCCACTGTATGTTCACACATTGCTGACTTCGACCTTGGTTTATTTTTAATGTCTGAATTATATCTTGAACCCTTAACACAATGCAAACTTCCGTTTATCTAATGTATGATAAGGCACGTTACGATCAAATTATTATTATTAATTGATAGAAACAAAAGAGTGCTTGTCTATCATTTCACTTGATAAGCCGAAAGTGATTTAACTCTATTATTGCTAAAAACTATTGACTGAGCTTCAGGTATTGCCTTTTTCACTTTAGTTTTTAAAATACTTAAATATCAAATAGGGTAAAAAAAATATAGGCTCTGGTAATCTGCTCTACTTTTTGATGTATGCGTTAAAAAAAAGAAGCTACCATAATCTCGAGCACACATTAGCAATTAGATACACAAGAACATTTTCTCAAAAATTGGTTAATTTTCTATGTTTTATAGCCACAATGACAGACACTTCCATCTCGTCTGTCTTACAATTATTGCAAATATAATCGAAACTATGGGTAAAATAAAAAAAATAAAAAGAACTCTGAAAAATATTTTTTATTAAGTACACATTGGTACAGTCATTCAAACATCATAATGTTATGCTGAAATATTTCCTTGCTCCTCTTAAAAATATCAAAATGTTTTAAACTGACGTAAGTGAAATTATAACAAAAATCATTTAAGGACATTCCGTAATCTATAAGATTGTAACTATCAAATAATTTGGAAATAGGCTAATTTTAGTTTTGTCATTTTTATTGAAAAAACATCGAAGAATCGGTGCTTCTAAGCCTTTCCTGCAGCAGTTCGAAAAACGCGTCACTGATATTTATAAGTATCCTTTGCTTGTGTAAAACCTACAATTTTGAAATCCCTTATATATTAGTATTTATTCCTCCTTGCAAACTTATTTTTAGTGTTTAATGTAGTTATTTTTAGTGTATAGTTAATTTAGTGAATAATGGATATATTGACAAAAAAACCATTGTAATTAATTCTTCCGATGATTTCTTCACAAATTGCTAAATTTCCAAAGGCCATTTTTACTCCTTAACCCCTCCATATCATTCATCTTCATCTTATACAGGGTGACTGGTGTATTACTATCAATAATTAAGGAGCATACTCGGTACATGATTCTCATTCGAATTATGTAAAAAAAATAGGTACTTAATTTTTGACCAAATTTCCGTATAAATAAATAAAGTGTAGACACGTTCCAAGCAGTGGCGGCTGTACCTTAAGTGCACTCGTGCGCTGAACCACCAATTCAAAATATTTAAAAAATTACAAAATATTACTTCATCTTTATTTTTAAATTACCATTTTAATATTTATTTTTTAAACATATAAAAACGTATAAAAAATTAAATTTTCTAATTATAGTCAAAATGTTTGTAAGCTTTACTAAACTAATATCTCGTGCGCTTCGGCGAGTGCACGAGGACTCCTAATACATCTTGTATGAGATACGCATTAACACGCCTGACGCGTGAAACAAAAGATAGTTCATAGAAATCTACCGAGTAATGAGTCGGTTCTCGAGCGCCACACGCGCGAACCGAAGATTACCGAGGGCACCCGATGTATGACGAATTGAGCCATGATTGACATCTCGTTATGTTTTGTTGCATTTTCTAATTTAAATATTTTAGTAAAGTGCACCACCAGTTTTATAACCCACCAGCCGCCACTGGTTCCAAGTGTTCCAAGTGTGGACGCGTACGGCGGCGTGCTGATACAACACTACGCCGCCGCTCGCGTATGTGTGTGTGTGTGTATACCTAATCTGTAGGGTGTTCACACGATGCGTAATTAATTACATAACTTTTGGTTAACTTTACTTAGAAGTTTATTAATATTTATGTTATATTAATTTTTATTTTGTCATATATGATCGTCAAATATCACGTCCTCAAGTATCGATAGTAATTCACCAGTCACCCTGTATATAAACTCGGTATGTTCTCATAAGTAAAATGACATGTACCTACCTAGTTCTTTGGTATGAAAAATATATTTTCTATACTTATATAATAGTAATGGATAGTGCTATAGTTTACACTGTCTTTTTCTGAAATTATAGTGAATCTGAAACAAACAAATCTACTTAGATTAAACACATTTTTAAAAAATAACCTGCAACATGGACTCGTATCACAAGATACAAATGTGACAAGACGGTGTGTGATTTACAACTGTCTGAGTCACTAATGCACTATGCACTATCTTTGACCAAGTCAGCATATTACACTGCCTACTTTAAAAATTTACTGTCTCTAAAATTAGTACTTTCTTATATCCACACTCTATTTTTATATCACTCTCTACCATCCTCTTAATCAATTTGATTTCTAGCACAATTGTATTGTATTTTATAATATTATTTCCAAATTAACAACCAAATCTTCATATACACTACAAATATAACTAGCAACTACTGCACTACAGTATTTTTTATAAAACTTATAAATAGTTGCTTATTCAAGTTTTAAAACTTAATTGGGTAGAAAATGAAATATACAAAATACTGATCCATATTGTTCTGCAATAAAAAGTTAAGACATTTAATGCCATCTTTTAAAGAATGGATAAACAAAATATTCTACCCAAAACATTGATGTCGCTATTCTCCGGTAGGGGTCACTTCGATGGCGTCGGATCCGTGTTGCAAACAAAGTATTGTTACAAACGTCAAAATTGTGTTGTGGCGGACTGGCGGCGCTAATGTCTCATATCGGAGCGCTGTTAGTCGAAGCAATTGAATATAATTAGTGTTTTTATCAAGAGGTTATGTAGAAAACATAGTATATAATAAGTGTGGTGTTATTAATAAATTTAAGAAACATGGAAAAGAGAAAAGAATCGTTAAGAGCTGCAAAAGTGTGCCGATTTTGCCTATCACAAGATCAATCATTGGACAATTTGTACGACAGAAATAGAGCGCCAAAGAATGCTATTAACTTACATCTTAAAATATTATCATGCGTTGCAATCGAGGTATGTTTATTTGAATATTTATCCCATTTAAAATAAAATAAAGCAAGTCGTGCATTGAAATCAGGATGGACGCCACCTACTGTAGCTTTACTTTTCTAAGAAATAATGGCGCCTTAAGTTTTATATGTGGAATTTGACTAATATACCATTTGATCGTTAAAATCACGTTATTGTTTTTGTATCTGTCATAAAAAGAAATTTATATTATATTGAGAAAAATTTCCCACTAAATCAAGACCATGAATAAATGTCAGATATCAAGCGCCACCTAGTGGCTTAAGTTCACGTTATATAAAGAAAAATACATTTATTACAGCTAAAATATTAATATTTGGCACCTTTCTACAGGTATTTCCCTCAGACAAAATGCCTGCCTACATTTGCCATCGTTGCAAAACTTTCATGACATTGTTCTATGACTTCAAACAAATAGTACGGAGAGCTGATGAATCAATCTTGCAATTTTTACAAAATGGAACACCAATGGAAACAATTGTATGGCCCTCTTCCTTGGCTAAAGTAAGTATTCCATTTATAGAATACTTTGATTTTGTTTGAACCAAGTACAGACTTTTGAATAGTAATTTATGTGAAATGTACAAGTATCCCGATATCGAGCATCAAAATACAGAAATAATCATGTGTTATATCAAAAGTTCTCACTGTTTCAATAATTTTAATATTGTACAAGTATTAATAAACATAAATTTTTCTCTGTTTAGCTCCTACCGAGTTCTAATGAAATAACTGTTAAAACCATCGTAGAAGACGGTACAACTATACAAGTTTCATCCCAAGATATATCTGATAGTGATGAAGAGGACGGGAATGTGTATAATGTTAAGGTATTAAATAATTAACAGTTTATAAATAATATGTGGTGTAAGAATTAAAATTAATCTAAAGATTTATTTATTAAATCATTGTACAGTTATATATTACATGAAAATATTTTTTTTAATGTTTATCCCCTAAAGAATTTTAAATTACATGTATGTGATATGTTAAATCTTTTTAAATTTCTTTCTATAATAATTATAGTGATAATAAATGTTTTAGTAACATTGAATCTATTAGGTTAACCTTTTTATTGATAATTGTATAGAAATTAATGTTTTATTTATAATTTATAGATAGGAGATGGACCTGATGATTCGAGTACAACTTGCATTAAAGTTGTAACAAGCAAAGAAGAAGTGAAAGAGGATTCCGTACAAAGTGGTAAATGTAATTCTGTGTTAAATGTTACTTTCTATAATTACTATATGATTTGCACTCCAGTAGGCATTGCGTGTGTTCATAGCTTTAAACTTAAACATATCCCTATATATTGTTAGTGTTGCCATAGGTTTCTATTTCGCCAGTTACTTGTGCCATTATTTCAAGTATGAAATAATTTTATTACTGTGGTATTTCTTTGTAAATCTGCATATGTCTTCATGCTAGATTGTAGCATATGCAGATTTATCGCAATGAAATTATAGAATGCATATTTCTATACTATTCACTGTTGTATCTTATGGTAAAATTGCATCATATATTAGGCTGATGTTACATCTAGAAGCTTCTTTTTCTTTTCAGGTAACAATATATTATTTTGCATGATTTTATATTTGTTTTATGCATCGTAGCATGAAATGCATTTTTTAATTCTCATAATAATCTACATTTCATTTGTTTTATATTTTGTTAACAGGAAATTGTGTTCCTTTGTGTAAAACTATAATCTGTGCATTTATATTGTTTATAAGGTAAGTTTTTAGTGATAATTATCAATAATATATAAAGTAAGGGTAATAATAAAGATTTTTTATTAACAGTTACATCTATCTTCATAGTCATTATTTCAAAATTCCAAAGCCTCTATAGTATACTTCTAAGTTATATTATTATTTTCTATACAAACTTAATAGTCCAAGCATTGTTTAAATTATATATGTACATTTGTAAACACATTCATAATTGATAAAAATCATGTAACTTTATTAATGACATTATTGAACCTCACCGAGTCTATACTCTCATATTATACGAAATTTCTTAATATAATTAACACATAGTCTCATGTGAACTAAGCATTCCTAAAAATTCATTGATTCAATTCAGTATGACATTAGGTTTCATTCAGACTAAACATTATCAATGTTATTGTAAAACATTAGGCTAGCTTCAGACTGTCTAATTCATATATTAGTACGTAGTGGTAGTTATAAAGGCTCGTTCACACTGTCCTGACCTGGCACAGACCGCGAGGTGTGCTGGCCATGTGACGAGTGTGACTGCACCTACCCTCTACAACAACTGCTGGCTTTACACAAGAAACAGAAACACAGGCCACGTACTGTTGTATGTGATAAATGTGACGCGTAAGTATTTATTTTATATACTTAGTAATAACTTAATATTTGGAAACGATTCTTATGAAGAATGAAAGTGATTTTATGTGTGAGACTTATCACTACTAATATTATAAATGCGAATATAACTCTGTCTGTCTGTCTGTCTGTTACGATTTGATGTCTAAACCACTGAACTGATTTTAATGAAATTTGGTACAGATATAGAGTTGACCTTGAGAAAGAACATAGGATAGTTTTTATCCCAGACTTTGAAAGGTTCTCTTGGAAACGTAATATAACCGAACTCCACGCGGGCCAAGCTGCGGGCGGAAAGCTAGTTCGTGTTATACATTTCCATATTATTTTTCTAGTTCTTACTGTATTAGTATGAATGTTTGTAGGAAATTCTTCTCAAAGTATGATCTTTCTACTCACCTCCTTCGACACACCGATGAGACGCCGTTTCAATGCGTGGCGTGTGATAAGAAATTCAAAAGACTGATCTTGCTTAAAAGACATGAAAAGGTATATTATCTTATTAGATAGAAAATTAATACAAGTATATTGCTGTTTATGTGATGTTTATTTCTATTTTCTAGATCATTCACGCAGATCTGCCGCAACAAGTCTGTCCAAACTGCCCAGCTACGTTTTTGTCTATCGAAGAGTTGGAAGCGCATAAAAAGAGACACATCCACATAGAGAGACCGTATTCTTGTAACGAATGCGACAAAAAGTACGATATGCTTCACTAATTCAACAGTTGATGTATGAGTATTGATGATTATTTTTGTTGTCAGGTTTCACGAAAAGGCGACGCTCCAGCGACATATACAAGCGGTTCACAACAAAGAGCCCACTTACTGTTGTGGGTATTGTCCAGAGCGTGAGTCGTATACAAAGTTATCCCGAATATATTCGGGTTTTTAGTTTATAAACTATGAACATACGCAATGCTTGGTCCAAAAACCTCACATCATCGGATCAGTTAAACAAGTTCTGGAATGTTCCTAACGTTTCTCTTTTTCCAGGTTTCGTGTCGCTCTCCAAGTTAACTAAGCACGTACGCTCCCACGCCGGCGATCGTCCCTACCCCTGCAAGTTCTGCGATAAAAGTTTCACTAAATCCCATCATTACACCAGGTAAAAACATGTCAAGGCAATAAATATTATAGTTCGAATGTTAAGAATATATTGTATGTATGAATTAATAACATTTTTATCCTATATTACAACATGTATGTAGTTACGAATATATATAAAACTAAAATTCAAGAATTGAGTAGGGGACGATACCTTAATTGTCAAAGCGCAGTCACTTTATGGACACGATAACCTTTGTTTCAACTTGGAATCTTGCTTGTGTTCATAAATTATCCATACAATGTGATTAATATCAAAACTATTCACCAGCTAACACATACATAATTTTTCTTATAACATATAAATTTAAATTACTATTATTATCTTCGAGACTAAAGATTAGATCAACCACTGTATTGAGAAAATGGTCAGGTCAAATATAGAACTACATGTATTAATTATAATATATTCAATTTATTTTTAAACACAAAACAAATAAAATATATGTCTGTATTGTATGTTGTATCTATCAAGCATTTAAATTTTATTGCTTAATTCAAAACACATTAATACGTCCCACTAATTACTAATATGATAAATGTGAATTTTCATTCATGATATGTAAATATTTGTTGCTGTTGCAGGCAAGAACTATTATGAATATTTTGAAGCAAATTTTCTCTAGTTTAGACACTAGTATAATTGATTAAAATATACCTTGTCTAAGTAATAAAAGTTGTATTTTGTATGAAGTCACACAAGACATATATGGCTGATGCAAGTAGTTACCATATCTAATTGGATTTATTTCTCTAAAACTAATTCCGAAATCGACGCGGATGAAGTAACGCACTTAAGCCTCTTCTTCTTCCTGGCAATTTCCCAGCTTTAGCTAGGGTCTGCCTTACATGTTGTGAATAGTTTTGGCTAATTATTTTTACGACCATATCAACCCTCTTTGGGAATGCTCTTTGGGAATCAGTGATGTCTAAACATCTTAGAAAGTATACAGGGTGACTGGTGAATTACTATCAATATTTAAGGAGAATACTCGGTACATGATTCTCATTCGAATTATGTAAAAAAAATAGGCACTTAATTTTTGACAAAATTTCCGTAATAATAAGTAAAGTGTTGACACGTTCCAAATGTTCAAGTGTGGACGCGTGCGGCGACGTGCTGATACAACACTACGTCACGACACGCGTATGTGTGAGTGTCAGTGTATACCTAATCTGTAGGGTGTTCACACGATGCGTAATTAATTACACAACTTTTGGTTAACTTTACTTAGAAGTTTATTAATATTTATGTTATATTAATTTTTATTTTGTCATATATGATCGTCAAATATCACGTCCTCAAATATCGATAGTAATTCACCAGTCACCCTGTATATGACTCGGAAAAATCAGCCTGGTACTTGCCAGGATCGAACCCGCGCCCTCATGAATGAGAGGGGGTGCTTTTAGCTACTAGGCCACCACTGACTATATGTATATATTTCCAGACACCTCCGTGTGAAGCATCGTTCCCGTCACACTGAACAGTATCGCTGCGAGCAGTGTGATGACACCTTTACGAGCCAGGATGATCTTATATATCACTCAGCGATCCACGCAACACAGAATCTCACCTGCCCGCTCTGTCAGGAGAAGTTTGAAAACGTTGATGACGTCACCACACATATCAAGTCACACGTCAGCGGTATATAACATAATCAAAAAACAAAAATCTAATTTACAATCATTAATGGTCACTAAATAACTTCAATATCTTATTTGAAGATTTTTCGAATTGAATTATATAGTAAATTATTTAACAAAATCGTTAATACTGTGGAAAATTATAAAAAATAAGAATTCCATGGCCAATCCTCCTTCAACACATCCCTTATATAATTTATGGCTTTACCAACATATTAAGTTATTGTAATAGCAATTCCAATGTATATGAATAACTATTCCAATAATTACAAATATAAATGAGAACATAACTTTCAGGTGTAGAATTCGAGTGTGATTTCTGTGAGCTCGTGTTCACATCCAAGGAGAAACTTGACAATCATTTGATAACTGCACACGAAGACGAACTGCAGCATGTAAGTCTATACAAAATACATATAAAATAGTCATAGTCACATAAATTTAAATAAAAATATATATTTTTAGGAGGAAATTGATGAAATAGAAGAATTGGAAGAATCATCTATAGAAGAAATAGAAGACGATAATGGAATCAACTGTGAGATTAAAATATATATATTTTAATTAATATATATAACATTCAATACAAATTATGTTTTTTTTTTATTACAGTGAAAGACGAAGGTGATCATATGGTTATTGAAATCAACAAAGAAGATTACATGGTTTGTTACAATTATATAAAGTTATTTTATATTAATCGAAATATATTCTCACACAAAAATTATTCCAGATAAACAAAACCTCGGAGTCCGATATAAAGGCTGTTAATGCACAATCTGAAGGTAGATAACTTTTTCACTACTATATCATGGTATGAAACTGTTTGTAAACATATAAATATTAATAAATATATTTCTTTTAATAGATAGTGAATCAGAGAACACGTATACTGAGTTAGCTACGGTGGATACATTGGCTGTCTTGAAGAAAAATGATGCGACGAAAATAGTTGCCGAGAAACCTGAACCTAAGATTGTCGAACAGAAACCAGTCATCAAGAAAATCGATAAACCTGAGGTATAAACACAAATGGTTACTTTGTACAAGCTTTAAAGCATTATTACTCTTGATTTAGAAGAAATATATTAGTTTGAAAAGAATAAGTCTCAGGCCATATTAAAGCTCTCCCTGCAACGCGATGACCTGGCACACACACGGTGAATCCGTTGAATGCTGAGAAGTTTTGTCTTCATATAAAACTCTGATGTAACAAATTGCTTTAATTCCCATGAAAATAACTCCTTTTTGGATATTTCTTTCAAAAAATTCTAACTTAGTTTTCAATATTTTTTGTTGGAAACCTGGCTTATTTTTTAGCATTATTTGACATTTGCGCCACTTTTTAGGTTTATACTTTCACTACACTACACTTTTTAGGTTGATACTTTGATTATTAAATTAAATCTATATATTATCATGTTTTAGCAACCATCCTCTGTAATACTGCAAAAATCCGAAGAAATAAAAAGAAAAGCCGAAAAACCGCCTCAAGAAGCTGGTAAGGGTTAAAATAACATTTTAATTACTATTTGATTTATTACTGAGTACTTATTACAGAAATGTAACTTAATGAGATACACTATCGTATTCCAAGGAGCAATGCTCGCAGTTTTCTAGGTACCTTTGATATTAGAATGTCAAAAACTGAATTAGGAAGTAATGCCCCTATATCTAGATCATCTCGGCTATACAATATTTTAAGTCAAGATCTAGACATTTTTAATAACTCTGTCATAACATTTCGTAAACGGGCTCTAGAATTATTGAGAGATGCAGATAGATAAATAAATAAATTATAAATGTTTAATAGTTATTATATTAATTTTAGTTTGTATTGATTTGAATATTTTTAGTGATTTTTATGCATGAATTTAATAAATATTTAATTTTAATTTTATTAAGTACTTGTTTGTTTTTTGTGGTTTTTTATTTGTATTAATTTTTACTTGTTATTATTATCTAGATCTTTCTCGCTATAATTATACAGGGTGACTGGTGAATTACTATCAATATTTAAGGAGCATACTCGGTACATGATTCTCATTCGAATTATGTAAAAAAAATAGGTACTTAATTTTTGACAAAATTTCCGTATAAATAAATAAAGTGTGTACACGTTCCAAGTGTTCCAAGTGTGGACGCGTGCGGCGGCGTGCTGATACAACACCACGCCTCCGCAAGCGTATGTGTGAGTGTGTGTGTATACCTAATCCGTAGGGTGTTCACACGATGCGTTATTAATTACATAACTTTTGGTTAACTTTACTTAGAAGTTTATTAATATTTATGTTATATTAATTTTTATTTTGTCATATATGATCGTCAAATATCACGTCCTCAAATATCGATAGTAATTCACCAGTCACCCTGTATATATTAATATATTTTTAAAACATTGTAATCGTTGTGACCACTTTAAAAAGCTACACATGTAACCTATTTCCATTAATTGTTTTATATTTGGCATTTAAACAAGTAGTAGCTGCTAGTGGTCCTTAAAATAAATAAAAAAAAAATAAAAAATAAAAAAATGTAGGTATATAAGTTGGGGGTTGCTTTACCGATCTAAAATACAAACGATTGTCGTCTATTCATGACAGATCAAAATATTTTGTTAATTCCTAGTCCATTAAAACACTTTTCGTATTTTAATTTACAGTTCCAGAGAAAAAGGACAAGAAAATAGAAATAAACAGTGGCGGCGCGAGTGATAAGTCATTACGTTTATTGGAGAAGGAACTACAAGATCTTAAGAGGGTAAACTAAAATATTAATATCTGCCGATCGTATATTTAATAACAACAATTAAAAGATAAACTATTTCAATGAGATAAATGTTTTATCTTATTGGAACTGTTACGATATCCCTCCAGTTGCAATATCATCATTTATACGTATCAATTAAGTTATACAAATCTCTTAACATTGTTCATATATATTATATATTATTACTGAATTAAATATATCACATTTTTATATTTTTCTTAGACTAACACAAAGTCAGAAGTACAGAAAGCATCTCCAAAGAATATCGAGATGTTGAGGACTAAGCGACCGCAACTACAGACATCCACACCCAAAAGGTGAATTACTTACTAACTCAAAATGCACATATGTTATACAATAAAAAGAATATGTATATATACTTTAAAAAATCAGTTACGGTTCTAGATCGACCGAGGAAAAGAAATTCACCGTAATGAATAAAACTCCGAATGTCGAAAAGAAACCGGAACGAAGGATAACCAAAGAAAACAAAGAACCGAAAGATGTTAAGGAAACGAAGAACAATAATGGAAATAAAGATGATAAGGAATCACCAAAGGTATACAAAATATTAATATTTATTTTACAAACTAATAAATAAAAATAATTCTTATATATAACCTGATATTTTTCCAGACCGTCATAAAGAATGGTTCTAATAACGACAAAAACGCCTCCGATGATGGAATCCGTCGGTCAACGCGGCCCTCTAAGATAAAGGATTACGCGAAAATGGTTCGAGACAAGTCACAGACCTCCTCCGACATGGACGAGAGTAGCGACGAAGATGAGGAGTACAGAGAGAGTGATAGGAGTATTGACGTAAGATATGCTAATTAATATAATACAAAACTAAATAAAACTTGACCTGCATATACATATAGAGTATTTTTCGGTATTACTAGCGGTTATAATTAAAATACATACTCCTGAAGTTTCGGTTATTTCACAAAACCGTCATCATATGCAGACGAGATAAAATCTCAATCAATGAATACTCACAAAAAATAAAATATATTGATATCTTAGAATATATAGTAAAAACCAATTCTTAAATTATACTTTTCGATGACTTCATATATTAGTAATATTTAATCGTAATTAATTTCTTATATTTAAACAGAGCCGTACCAAGATACGAAGAATCAACCCTATCAAAACAAAGCCTGCAGATGTGTCCCCGGTACCAGCATCAGCTCCTCGAAAGAGAGGACGACCAAGGAAGGAATCTAAGGCAACCAAAGAAGTGTAAGTTGAAACAATTTTTGTTTATTTTATGATTATATAGAGAATAACCTGCCATTATATATAAGAATTGATTCAGTGTACATTTACTAACTAAAGACTTTTAAAATTCCACTTTTAAAACTGTCTAGTTCAGTATAAATTATGTGATAATTCAAACATTATTTTAACAGTCCTGCTAAAGTGAGAAAGGATGACAGTGAAGCTGTTGATAATGAAAAAGTAGAAGAATCATCAGCAAAAACTAAAACTTTAGTTAAAGAAGATAAGAAAGTCATGGATACTGAAGCAAACGAATCTACCCAAGTATGATAAAATATTAATGATTATTAAATTATAACACGAATTTTATTACATTAGTAGTGTTAAATAGAATAAGTATCAGCAACAAGAAAATTTAGACTAATTAAATTTATTTCTATTTTCAGAACACCCCTAAAACACCTCCAGAACAAAAACCTGCCACTGCAGATTTACTTGTATCTCCATCTGGACAGACATTGAAAAAGGTATGAAGATATAAAAAGTTTAGAATTTAATATGAAATTCATTACATACATATACTTCCAATATTAATTTTATACTAAAAAAAATTGTTTTTAGGTCCCAATTAAGGCATTACCTCCAGGAATAAAACCATTGCCTCTACCAGTAAACGCCAGGCGTAAGTTTCTTTAATTCAAACAATCTTACACACATTGTGATCTCATTAAATGTGATGTTAATAATTTGTATTAAATTTTAGCTGTAGCATCTGGGGAACTTTGTGAAATGCAAATTGGAAAGAAAGTTGTGAAAGTACAAAAAATTGTAATGACGAAAGCAGAAGTAGAAGCTATGGCTAAAAAAGGACTTGTTGAAATGAAGGTATATAAATTGATATAAGATATTTATATTAAATTTTGCTACATGTGAGATAGACTTTAACATAATAAATTGTTTCAGGATGGTACTATGGTATTAAAACAAGGAATAAAACTACCCAGCATGGAAAATTCTAGTGCTAAGACATCCATAGCAGACGGTGGTAATAAATACTTAAATACATACATATAAATTTATTATATTCAACATTCTTTATAAAATGTTCATTCTTCAGATGCAGCAAAGGAATCTCTGGTGAAAAAAGAAAAAGCAGTGCCTACACGTTGCGACCTGGGTGATGATTCTTAAGGAATTCGTAATATTTATGAATTTTAAAATAATTCTATTTTATCATAAATATATATTTTACATTAAGGAAAACATTTACTTTCATAATTAGATTAGAATGTATAATGTGAAGAGAAAGTTTACATTTGTTTTCATAATTTAAGGAATGAAATACATAGTAACCTTGTATTTTTTATTTAGGCTGTAAGTAGTATATGATATACTGGAAAAAAATTAGTTTTGCTTAAGTATATTATAATGACTATGCATTAAATAAGCGTATGTAATCATAAGTTCTGCAAAATTGTGTTTAAAAGGTATCGAAACGCGTTGTTTTACATGCAAAAATATTTTATATTAGTGTTCACTCAGAAAATATAATAATAAAATAATCTGGTCTGTATTTTTATTAAACAACCCATAATGATTGTCGATATAAAATAAAATGATTCGAGAGAAATGAATAGAATTGTTGAGTCAAACTTTCGCGGAGATTTTTCGCTATCAGACGAGAGATGGCGCGAAAGGAGAAAATTATTTATAGCGTCCTCAACAGGTGTCGCTAGTTACGCTTCCCGCCAACACGATTCTTCGTACGGCGGCTGGTTCAAAATTCATAATCAAACGACATCAAATACGCGAGGCAATCGGGTGTGAGTGAATAAAACTAAAAACAAGTATAATTAGTTTATTACTTGTTAAGTGTAAACAGTGCTTCGACGACCATATATTTAAATTGAAAGGCGACGTAAGTTTTTTTATATTACAATTATATAAAAAGATCCAATTATAATTTAAAATATAGAGTTAATTATAGACGTTTTAGTAATAAAAATATTTATCATAAAATATTGAAATATATATTTGCAATTGCAAATTATTTTCGAGAAAAAAATAAAAAGATCTTGATTTTTATTTAGTTTAAAAAAAAATAAAACTTAAATTTCATGACCGCAAAAGCCAAAATAAAAACTTTTTTCACTCTACGTCAATTAGCTCACAATAAGTTAATTCAAATTGATAATAAAAATAACAGTAACAAATTATTTTATGTGTACAAAATCTTCGATAAAGATAGGATTAGGTTTTTTATTTATTTAAGCTTTAGTATGATTGTAAAATATTCAGGTCATAGAGATTCGCTTCTGTAATTGATATAATTATTGATAAGATAAAATACAATTATTTCTTAACAAAACACCGAGTGTGGATTTTATTAAGTGGTTCACGTAGCTTAGTTAGTTTGCTTTGTGTGAGCATTGTAAATATATACCGTTTGTGAGATAGCCAATGAAAATAAAAAAAATTGTCAACAGATACCTAATGTAATTTTTCCACGACTCTATGTATAATTTTTATATTACTTAACTGTAGCATTGAAACATGAAAATGACTACAGCATATAGTGTCAAATAGAATAAACTAACACGAACAACTAAAGAGATGTCAATTCACACTCGACTGTGACTCCCAAACCCGACTTGATAATGTGCCCGGAAACCAATTTAACGTTATAAATAATATCAATCAGAAACTTGGACGTGACTTTCAAAATGTTTTTTGTATGCGGTAAAACCGACATAATTGAAAACACTCGGGTTATTGTCGTTTTTTCTTTGACCATAGACTTTTGTTTTTATATTTCATCTCACTGAACCTATTTCGGTTTTTTCTGATTATTATGACGTCACAGTTCCATTTTTAAAAAATTAAAAAAGTTTATTCCAAAGAGGTTCGTTTTAAGGAAATTAAATGCTTAAGCTTATCATGTCATTACTATTCTATGATGAGTGCTGTATATATTAATATTAAAACCATGATATCGGTCATGGCTCGAGAGACCACGCCGCTCTGACATGTGAGGGAAGCACAATGCTATGGAAATTAACTTCACCACTGGAACTAATTGCTAACTAGATTCCGTCACTATTGTCTAAAATCTATAGTTTTATATAATTTACTGAGATTTCTTTAAATAACTTCTCAACACATAGTAACACCATATTAATTTCAGTATTAAATACTTCAACGATTCGTTTTAATTTTTTTTAATCTTAGACGTTCAAGTGTTTCCTTGAATCATTTGGGAATAAAGAAATCCAAAATAACATATTATAAAAGTAATGGTTTCAATATTAATTATTTTACTGACATAAAATGGATTTAAAAAGATATTTTTTTTTTCGCATAATTCACAAAAGTACTTTAAAAATCCCAATGATCCTGGCATCCACACGAATGCTTAGAAGTTTCGTCTTCTATCTTCTTAATTAACTTCAATTATTGTTTTATTTTTCATAGATTGTATTTTTTTCATCGCAAAACCTCATTCACAATCTAAGGCATAAAGTAGACGAGGTATTTGATAAGTTACTTTCGAAGTTCATACTCCGAGTTTTATTTATAATTATAATAAAAATATGGTATATATACCGTATTATTTATATCGATTATCTAAACATGTGTTATTCGATTTTGATATTAAATTTCACACCCATTTTATCGATAATAGATTAAATTGATGTCACTTTTTATCAATATTGTAGTCATATAAATTGTCAAAAACTAATATTTGATATCTTACCACATGTGTATGTCATACAAACGAAATGTTTAATTTATACAATGACCAACCAAGGAAAAACTGTTTACTCTGCGTTGATAGTGCTGGCGAGATTTTCGTAAGGACGCAATAACTGTATTTAAAAATATTGCAGTTAAGTATGTTCTTTTATCATCAAACTTATGTTGTACGGAATAACAATCTCGTTAAACATATTTAAAATATTATTTAATATTTTTGTGTTGTCAACTGCAAACGAATTTTTTATAAGCATTTTTTTATATCTCATCAACTTCTATATTCATCTAATGTTAATTTTTAATTATCAGCTTACTTAATCAAAGAAATTTGTATTTTATTATTTATTTTTATTTATTCAATAGAAGTTAAGTAACCTTTCGCTTAGATCCGTTTAAAAAAAAAAAGAAAAAACTTAATCAACCTCCTTGACTTCAGTTTTCAATGTTGTTTTTTTTTTCCAGACATTTCGATTACTTTTAAGTTTCATTAGTCTGAAATACCTTTTATATTTAAAATAATTTAGAAACATTCAGAACTAATTAAATAATCTTAAATACGAAATTCGATTTAAAACATATTTTTCAATTCAATGCATTTTTTTATTCTCTTCAATAAATGTGTTAAGGCAACGACGAAAAGCATTCTGCCAATGTCATACATAATGAAAAAATATATCTACTTGAGATCAAACAAGTCACAACTAAAACAAACTGTCACCTCTCCCTTGAGATGGTCATTATGTACATAGATCTTTAAATATTTGTACATCAAGATGGACGCTATCAATCAAAACAAAACCCTCGCTTAGAAAAAGACATATTTAACTTATCTTAATAAACATTTTATTATCTTTAATACTTTTCATAATTAAAAATACAAAACTATCATAATGTAACCAGAGACAATTTTCCTCTATAGCTACTTAAAAAAATTTGTCACGTTCTAAAACATAATATATTTATAAGAACTCATTAATTAATTGACCTCTTAATTGAGGAAAGTTCAATAATACAAATTAATTTATAAATCGCTGACATTCAATATTATGAGAATAAGAAATCGAATTCTGAGTAAATATTGACTGGATCATTATAAATAGACGTCAAAACATTTTATTATTACAATAACAAAACCTTATTTAGTTAAATGTGCTTTAACTGACAAAGAGAAATTACTAAATACGACTATTTACTGCTTAAGGTGGCACTTCACTTGGTGTTGCGTATTCGCCCCATTTGTCCAAATAGCACAAACACGACATCCACACTTGGCATGCCAACAACACGGTTTATGCGTTTTCGCTTATTTGTGTATGTGTTATATTTGTGCAAAAATGTCAAATAAAGACGAATAAATCCTCCACACATGGTCTTATTTGGCCGAACAATAAATAAACGCCAAGTGAAGTGCCATATGTAATGTTCAAATCTTATTTACTGTAATAAATATCAAGGTTATTAAAATTTCAGGAAAAATCCAATTAAGACCTACCCTTGTTTCCAATTATCTTAATATTTCAACAAATTAAGGCCCATTTAACTCCAAAGAACTTTATTATCTTTTACTTTATATTAAAATAACTTTATTAAGTTATATAAGGATATCAAATAAGTATTATAATTTCTAGTAATCATAATAAATTGTGGTATTATGGTTGAGACTGCCCCTCACAGCGATATGGTAATGCGGACCGGATTTCCGGTGCTATATAAACTCTATTACCACTATTACCTTGAACTGTGGAAGCGAAGAAAATACAGCAAAGAAAAACTATCATAAATACTATTATAGTCAAGAGAGATGCCTTAAATACTTAGAATATTAGTAAATGATTATTATTATTAAGTAATATAAAAAAATATTTACATATTTTAATAGTTTAATTTGTCTTTTTTTTTTAAGTTACATTGCATTTGTTATCCTCCGCCTATCGCATGTTGCATTACATTTGTAACCCAAGTAGTGGTAATAGTGCTAACAAAAGCTCAGCTTGGCTCGCATATATTTAATGAGTATACATTTTTACATGAATATCTGGCATAACATAATATGTTTTCCTTTATTTTTAATTCTCACGATCCATTTATTTAATTAGTATAGTTCCCCAGATCAGATTTTTTTAAATTATCTCTGAAAATCGTCTTGTTCAATCGTAATAAATACGAACTAAAAGTTTATTGAAAACTAGCTTTCCGCCCGCAGCTTCGCCCGCTTTGAGTTCGGTTATATCGCGTTTCCAAGAAAACCTTTCAAAAGTCTGGGATAAAAACTATCCTATGTTCTTTCTCAAGGTCAACTCTATCTCTGTACCAAATTTCATTAAAATCAGTTTAGTGGTTTAGGCGTGAAAGCGTAACAGACAGACAGACAAATAGACATAGTTACTTTCGCATTTATAATATTCGTAGGGAAATAAACAACATAATATTGCAATTAG